CAGGCTATATAAAAAGTTGATCTGACCTTACTAGCTACATACAGTACATTGAGCTGGCATGACAACTACATCAGTGTGGAATGTTCCAGCAATTGTCTTCATAGGATAAAACTGACATTTTCCTTAAGCAGCTACAATAGTGAATATTGCATTTTGATGGTGCTGTGCTATTCTGTGTTCTTGAGTGAGTGTTGACAGTGGGCTACTTCGTTAGATTTTTCTCTTGGATAAATGGATTTTATTTTTTTTTTTTTAATTCAGAACTAATGTTTGATGCTAGAATTATTGGGATGGAAGGAGAGACTATAGATGTTGGTTTACAGATACAGCATCTATATCCATAGGCTAGGTAGTCTATAGGACAAAATAACTAAAACCTGGAAACCTTTCAGGTGGAAAAAAAGATTTACTGATTTAATTACATAAGCCACAAATACTCTGTTATTATTTCAAAATTAGTATTATTTTCTTTAATTTCCTGCTGTCTTGTAACACAGCCTTTCCTCACATTTGTGGGAAAAATTACAGATGATATCTGTAAAGGTTCTAGTGTTGGGTGAAAGTAGGATACTAGTTTAAAATTTATGGCCTCTCTGTAAGAATGCTTTACCAGTATTCCCCTCCCGATTCAATCACAGGGCTCTCAGCTGGGTGTCCCAGCTGCCAAGGAGTCACTGGAAGAAAGAGGCAGTCTTTCCAGTAATTAATTCTCAAGTCACATACCTACTTGTTAACATATTTCGGCTGTAGACGTTAAACATGACAGCACTAGCTGATAAAGCTGGATCTTAACACTCATGTTCTAACATCTTAAGAAACCACAGGAAGTTCTGCCATTGTCCTATTCCCTGTCCTAAAGCACCACTCTGGCCGACTCTAACTCTGAACTCCCCTCACCCAAATCAAGTCCTGAGCAAGTACATCTAGATCTGAGCATTGTCTGCCTATTAGGATGCAACCCATTAAAACTTTTTACTGTCCCAGACATTCAGAATATTTATACCCCTATTACTTATATGCCTAATAATGAGAAGAGTAGATTGATTTATTTTTTTAAGCTTTTATTCTTGTTCTGAGAGTTGGACATATCCAGATTATTACTCTGAATTCACAGTACCATTTCTGTTCTGACTACCTATTTTTTATCTGTTGCTTGGTCAGAACAGAACTGAACACCTCTGTCATTTAGTGTTTCAAGGTAGATCTTTCCTTTATTCTTTAAATTGTAAGTCATATAATTTATAATAAAAAAAATACTTTCAGTGGAGTTCATGTGCAGACTGCTGATCTGCAAAGAAAAGATTCTCAAAGCGATCATCATATTAGGCATCATCAACTGAAGTTCACAGCAGTTTAATTTTGAGGCAGTACCAACAACCAAACCTTTCCTAAGTCCATTCACTAATAAGGTCTTCTGTAAGAAGCCCTGCCTGGAGACAAAAATTGTATTATTCTTTAGATAAGGAGTTATTGAGCATGGTAGTTCAGCCTTATGAATGTATGGCATTATGATCCAGAGAGTTTTCTTTGCATTGTTTCTAAAATGTTGACCGAATACAAAATCAACGTTTCAATTAATGCACCTCACTTTCTTTTCCTTTTATAGGCGAAGAAGAGCCTCCTGTAATCACTGCTACAAAATTCTTAGTGCCTGGAATATGTAAAGCAGAACTTCATTGCCATTTCCATACTGATGAACTGCAGGCAATTGCTCCTTTATAATCCATTACAACATTGTTATGCATTGCCACTTTATCAACAGCCTCTCTTTGCCATTTTAACTACCACACTGTCTCAGCACTAAATCTACTTGAAGGAATAAATACTCCTGAAGATCTGTTATTCCTAAGGGATTTTTTTATGGCCAGTAAACTTGAATCTGTTGTTCTTTATATAAAGTCTTTCATGATTTGAAAAATGCAGCATGGAAAAATAGATGGGAATACATTTCAAAATTATTCCCATTACTAATTTACATGTCATGATATTACACTATTTACAGATGCCATAATAAAAATTGATGACTTTTTTTTTTTTTTTAGAAATAATCTTCCAACTGGACATAAAAGAGCTTGGAACATTAAGTCTTAGCAAATTTTGTAGTCCAGCCTCTGGTTTTAAGTGCTAAAATACTTGATGGCAGGAGTGTTGTAGTAAATGAGAGCAGGATCTTTTTTCAGAAGCAAGATAAAATGCCAAAGGTGAGATCAAGAAATTCTCCATCAGAAGAAATAATTTTGTTTTAGAAATGTTTGAGCCCCTTTCCTCAAGTCTCCTTTCTTTCCTGAATGTTAATGTGTCTCAGTATTTAATTTCAGCTAAGTGTTTATCTCCCTCTTCTGGATGATTCTCCTATCTCTTATCCAAAATCTGGCTATGACACACATAGTACCATGCTGAGTCTGAAATATCATTTTTGTAATAGACAAAAATACAGATCTTGCATATACTGAATGATACCATGGAAATGAAGTTTCCTGTTTTCTTCCTGGAAGGGCTAATATAAAGAATACTTTAGAGAGATGGGGGAAGGAAGACCAAATTTTGTATTTAAGACATCATTCTGGATTTGTTCGGCCACGAGATGCCTTATGGGGGATTTCATATTATCCTTCAAGGACGTGCTGCTGCAAAATCACCTGGGGTAAAACAAGTTAAGCAGTTAACAGGCCTAAGTACTTTGCTCTGTTTTGAGCCAACCAGTAAACAGAAGCCTCTGAGGTTTTTTTGCAGTTCACACACATTGCTTAGTGATTAAGATAGTATAATATTAATAGTGTTATATTAACAAAAAAAATGCTAAACCTACAACTGGACATGTTTATTTAAAGACACAGAGCATGCATGGCCTTTCTTCTGCAGTGACCAGGCAGGTATATTATCATTCAGAATATCCCTGCTGTTTCCAGAGAGCAACTTCTCGTAAGTAAAACCCACCTATGTAACTGCAATTCTGGGCACTATAATAATAATCAATAGTAAAGCATAATAACAAAACCAAAATAATAACAGCAAATAGTAAAGGATACCACATCAATGTGCCCTTGCAAATTTTGCTTATGGAACCAGATTCTGTCTCATTTAATATGTCTTCACATTCCACTAACAAGAGGTTATTTTAAAGGAATACATCAAGGGAGAACTCAAAACACCTTACATACTCTTTCAGTTTTGACAGATGAGAATTAGACATTGCTAACCATTACATCATATTATCCATTTTAATAGACTGAGATAGAACTATCAAACCAGTGATGGTTTTGGCTGAGTAGCTTCAAAGTTCCTGGGGTTTTTTTGCCTGTTTAATTATTTGAATTTCCAAACAAAAGACTCTTGAAATTGTTGTCACAGATGGAGCAAGAAAGTGCTTTAACAGTTCTTTGAACAGCACCATCGATGGCAGAAATCTGTCATGCTTTGCAATAGTAATATGGAATTCTTTGATCAACTAGATGTATGTGTCAGATTTGGAGGGCCTTGTCCATTAATGTCATGTTCCTTACTCTTCCAGTTTTCTGAATTTGAAAGAATGCTAACTAGAAAACTTCACACTTGCAATACCTAAGTAAATTTAGGTAGTTTTATGTACATGGTGAATCATCTGCACCTTTGATGGTTTTGGTTTTTATTTTATGCTCTGCTTTGGGCTGTACTAAAGGCAGAATTCTTCATGTTTTCCTGTTCTTTGAAGTTGAAAAAATACCTGGGTCAAATTATGCAGAATAATCTAGCAGTAAATGCTCCTCCACTAAATCCAATCATGAACGATCTTGATTCAGTCAATTCTTGCTGTTCTACTAGAGAAGGAGTTTGGATTTATAAGACACAGGCAGAAAGGTTAGAAAATTTGTGTGCTGAAGAGCTGCTGTGCATAGAAATGCCAAAGCTGCGAAACACGAAGAGGAGGTAATTTCTTAGCAACTAACTGGTAAAGGTAATGCTGCTTTCCTTGGTGGAAAGCCCTAGCTCACATAATGTTATTTTATGCTGGACTAAAGATAGGGAAGATTTCCTGTGTTCTGTTAAATTTAGTTGCAGAATTAGTCTTACTTAATGGAATTAGGTTTTCATTTTGAGCTAAAAGAAAGCTTAGTTTTGAAAATGGATGAAGGCAGTTGTACAAAGAATCACTTGTCATTGATGTTTTCTTTCTTCAAAATTTGCTGTAAAATCCTGTAAATATTTTTTTAATTATAAAAGGTCTAATGCAGATGCCAGTCAAATCCATTGCAGGGGTGG